CCACGTCGTTGTTCCTGGGTAGCGCTAAGAGTAGTTCATCAATGACTTTGATGGTCCATAACTCGGACCCCAGTGGGCGGATTGTGGACCACGAAACATTTTTCTCTATCCCTACTAGTTTTCGAGATATTTGACTGGATCACTTCAGATGGTCCACCCTGTATATAATATAGAGCATCTTTTTACACGATTGTGTTAATCTTTGTGCGATTATATGCGACAATGTTGAGAGCTTCCAAAGTAAAAGATTTCAATTCGATACCTGCGTAAGTTGAAAACCAATCCGACATCTTGGCTGATGAGAAGCCGCGCTGTGTTATTCTATGTAAACGATAACGATAAAGTGTACCTGGTGTCAAATTTGAAAAGGTCGATAATCCGCCATTGCTCTACGGAAAAAATCTACCTTGGATAAAAATAGGCAAAGAGCGCATAAACGTTTATTTTAAATGTAATCGAGAGAACTATCGTTTTCTTAATCAATCGATTGACAAGACATATGTATACCTAATATGCAGAGTATAAGAGTGAAAGAAACGTTCTCGTTTGAAAAATAGATTTTTCTTTGATTCTATTCCTATTGTGTGAAAAACGCGAACGCAAACATAAAGAAATAATTGAACAAATCTATGAACGCCATCGTATGTTGTTTGTCTTGTTCGAGCTGCTCTTTCGCGATGTCTGAAATACCCCGATCGACATATGTATGTGATACACCTAAACTAAATCGTTTAAAAATCAATATATTTGTTACATTCTCTCTAATCCAGCTCCTTCTATTCCTTTCGTCGATTTTCGATCACGTCAAGGAAAAAGTTTGTTGACGCTTAAATCATGGTAATAAATGGCTAAAGCGATTAAAATTAAAAATAGCATTTACCACTATGGTTGGACCCCAAGTGTCGACGGAAACGCTTTGTTGAATAATATAGCTTCCAGGAGGATGATGTTTAATTATTAGCGTGTTCATTCCTCTGCAGTGTAAAGTGACATTTGCGTCAGCTTTCTCATTTATTCTTGGATAAGCTATCGTAAAATAATTTTAATATATATATATAATAAAATTTTAATATATATATTTATAATATTCATACGAGATGTTTTCTTTATACGTTTTGCAATTCTGTTGCACGGCTTATAACTTACGCTCAAACTCGCCAATAGGTTGCGTACAATGATTTCGGCATGATTCCTGAAACGATAAATTAATTATGCGAGCGTAACGAACGTAACGAAATGTTGTCAGTATTGATAAATATTAGAAAATTGTAATATAAGGCAATTAATTACAAATATGTCTGTCTCGTTGCACTAAATGCATACAGGGTGTTCAGCGTAACAGTCCGCACGATTTTTTAGACACTTGCGACAAATAAAAAAAAACATTGTAAGGTGATTATCCATCTATTTCATGTTGGCTACAACATGCGATAAAAAAATTTTTTTAATAAAAAAAGTCAAGGTTATCTTGAATTTTTTAAACAGCACCATACAATTTTTTTCCATAATATTGTAGGGATCTTCAAGACGAATTCAACGCATTATCAAGATTGTAACTTTTATGTAATGTTTTATTGATTTTATTACATAATATTTATCACAAATACTCATTAGTAAAGGAATACTTACATGAACTTATTAACTTATGTGAACAAATTTTATTGATTTTATTGATATTTAACCTTTATAGACGGTCGGACTGGACACTATAGCGGCCAGCGGAAAACTCGTTGACTCCTCGTGACAGAAAAAATCCATCGGAGATAAATCCGGAGAACGTGCCGGCCCTCGAACTGGTCCATATGTACTTATAACACGATTTCCAAAGATAATTTTGAATAAAAATAGTATAATAGCTGATTTTTTTCTATCACGAGGAGTCAACGAGTTTTCCGTTAGCCATTATCGTGTCCAGTCCGGTCCTCTATAAAGGTTAAATATTAATAAAATCAATAAAATTTGTTCACATAAGTATTCCTTTATTAATGAGTATTTGTAATAAATATTATGTAATAAAATCAATAAAACATCAATGAAAGTTACAATCTCGATAATGCGTTGAATTCGTCTTGAAGATTCCTACAATATTATGGAAAAAAATTGTATGGTGCTATTTAAAAAATTCAAGATAACCTTGACTTTTTAATTTAAAAATAATTTTTTTTTAATTTTTTTATCGCATGTTGTAACCCGCATGAAATAGATGGATAATCACTTTACAACCTTTTTTTTTGTCAGAAGTGTCTAAAAAATCGTGCGGACCGTTACGCCGAACACTCTGTATATATGTATGTATGTATGTATGTATATATGTATATATATACAGTGACCGGCATAATAAAGTGACCACCCATGTATTATTTATAAAATATCTTAAAACTAAAGTTTTTAATGAAAAAGTATCCTATTATCTTGTGTTCTTGAAAAGGTGATTACCATACCAAAGGTTTTTTCACAAAAATTACATGAATATTTGCATTAACACGCAATTACAACTTTATTTAACAAAACAAACATTTTCATATATGACAAAAAAAAGTGACCGACCAACAATTTTGGGCGTCTTCGTTTAGTCTTGTTGTAAATCCTCGATGTATAACACGGAAAATGTAAACAAATGGCGACCTGTGGCTATACCTGTTGTTTATTTACATTTCGAATAAGGCGCATCAGTAATTGAAAAGTAGTGAATATGGCTGGTTGGCAAATTTCTTATCAGATCCGTAATCTGATTATAAAAGATTGTAAACGCGGCGTTTCGCAGCGGAAGATTGCTCAGAAATATGAGGTTAGCAAAAGTGCTGTCCAAAAACTGTATAAGAAGTTTTTGATTACTGCAACGGTGGCTGATCAGTCTGGAAGAGGTAGAACGCGAAGCACAACTTGGCGTGACGATGCAAATATCATACGAATGGTGAAGAAAGATCCAAGTATAACTATCAGGAATCTACGTGAATCTCTCCAGTTATCCATATCCGACCGGACAGTGCGTAGAAGACTACGTGAAGTAAATCTACAAAGCCGTTTCGCACGTAAGCGCCCCTTGATTAATAAAAAAAACAAGAAAAAGCGTCTCGAATTTGCCAAAAAATATGCAAATAAACCCGTGAACTTCTGGAAACAAGTTTTGTGGTCGGACGAAAGTAAGTTTGAACTTTTTGGACGCAAACAACGGCTTCGTGTGTGGCGAAAAGCTGGCGAGGAGCTTCGAGACCGACATCTCCAGAAAACTGTAAAACATGGCGGAGGTAATATTATGGTATGGGGATGTTTTTCTTGGGAAGGCGTGGGTCAATTGGTAAAAATCGATGGAATTATGACTGCTGACACTTACACTGATATTTTAAGTGAGAATTTGGAAGTTTCGTTGACCCAATTAGGCTTGGAGAACAATTTTATTTTTCAACAGGATAACGATCCCAAGCATACCGCCAAAAAGACAAAGAAGTTTTTTACCTCCAATCGTATAAAACTGCTTGATTGGCCTCCGCAGTCCCCAGATTTAAATCCCATCGAAAATTTATGGTCGATTTTAGACAGAAATGTGAATAAAACTGAAGTCACAAACAAAAATAATTATTTTCATATGCTACAACGAGCCTGGGAAAGTGTCGATCCCAATCATCTACATAATCTGGTCGAAAGTATGCCCAGACGGTTGGCGGCAGTCATTCAGGCCAAAGGAGGCCATACTAAATACTAAATTTAATTTTTCTTTATGTATAAATTCAGATTTATTCAGTGGTCACTTTTTTTTGTCATATATGAAAATGTATGTTTTGTTAAATAAAGTTGTAATTGCGTGTTAATGCAAATATTCATGTAATTTTTGTGAAAAAACCTTTGGTATGGTAATCACCAATCAAGAACACAAGATAATAGGATGCTTTTTCATTAAAAACTTTAGTTTTAAGATATTTTATAAATAATACATAATTGGTCACTTTATTATGCCGGTCACTGTATATATGTATACAGGGTGTTGTATGTGTGTGTGTGTGTGTGTGTGTGTATATATATATATATATATATGTATACAGGGTTCCAGAGTTAGCGGAGGAGCCGGCGTACATATTCCTCATAAAAAAGTAAATCGAAAATGTTAATAGCAAAATTTTAAGGCATCAATAGTTTTCAAACGGTGAATTAAGCATTTGAAAATAACCAACCACAGGGCATAAAATTCGCGCCGTCAAGAGCGCGCAACTATAAGCGGTCGGCCGCGTGAACGCTTTGACGGACGTATCGCTCAACGGCACGGTACCGAACGAGTATTGCAAAGTTTCGTGAAATTTCTATATTAATTACTGCTGTATTTTTAATTTGAACACCTACTATAAAAATTTTTAAAACATCTAAAATGTAATTTTCAATAATAATACAGCTTATTACTTGTGTTACGTCCAAGCCCTTGGAAATACGTTTAAACGAGAGAGACAAGGATGGAGTTGTAGAAGGTATGGAAGGACGTTTAGACTTTATCTCGTAGGTATACGCGCAGTGGCGAACACCTGAGAGTCGGACGCACTTCCTATCGCTCTGGAATATGGGTCAACGTCCTGAAGGGA